CTCCCATCTCACCCTGCCTCTGTGGCAGGGCAATCCCCTGTGTTCTCTCTCTCCTTTTGGGTGTTGTGGTCTGCAAAAGAGGCATTGAGTGGCAAACATGTTCAGTCCATAGTCTCCTTTCAACATGCATCTCCCCTCCTGGGAGGATCCTCCAAACACCCTTTATTTGGTGCTCCCTTCTCTATCTGAGCTGCCCTTTCCCCTAGAATGCCCGAACATGCCCTTTTTTGTTGGTTTTGGGTGCTCAGCCTTACTCCTGGCTCTGAGCTCAGGGATCGCTCCAGGTGGGTCTCAGGGAACCTCAGTGCAGTGCCAAGAGTTAAAGCTGGTTCTGCCACGTGCAAGGCAAGTGCCTTAATCCCTGTCCTCTCCCTGCCTCACTTCCTTGAATTTCTTGAAAGTTGCATCTAAAGGGCCAGAGAGGGCTGGAACTATAGCACGGCGCGTAGGGCGTTTGCTTTGCATGCGGCCGCCAACCGGGTTCGATTCCTAGGATCCCAGATGGTCCCCGGAGCACCGCCAGGAGTCATTCCTGAGTGCAGAGCCAGGAGGAACCCCTGTGCATCGCTGGGCGTGACCCCCCCCAAAAAAAGAAAGAAAAAGAAAAAAAGAAAAAGGGCCAGAGAGACAGGTTAAGGCACTTTGCCTTGCGTGCAGCGGATCCCAGTTCAATCCCTGACATGGTGCAGATTTCCCGAGCACAGAACACAGAGCACAGAGCTCTGAGCACCGCCCCCCCCAACAAACAACAATGAAATTTGCATAAAGCACACCTGAGCACCCCCTTTTGTTTTTAACGTAGGAGTTCTGCTATTTATTCAGCCACTGATTAGCTGATTGAATTGGGCATGAACTCCACCTTACTTTTTTTTTTTCATTTTTTTTTATAATTTTATTTATTGCATCACCGTGAGAGCAGTTACAAAGCTTTTGGGTCTAAGTCTCGATCATACAATGAAACACCCATACCTTCACCATTGCCCATTCTCCACCACCAAAAACCCCAGTATATCCCCATCCCACACCCTCCTCCTACCTGGGGGGCAGATGATTTCCACATTAATCTCTCTCTCTACTTTGATCACATTCAATATTTTGACACCAGACCCACCATTATGATTTGAGATTTTACCCCAACACTCAGATCTGCTGAAAAGGCAACAGCAGACAATTTGTTTTCTATTGCAGGTTATGAATAACATATGATGTCGCGTGGCTGCAGTTGGGCCATGTGATTTTGAAATTCCGAAATTTTAGCACTTAAATCTGGAGGGATTTCTGCCAAAAGCCACTGGATTCCGAGATTTGCTCCTGAGTCTCTGGGATCATGGCCGTTGAGCAGCTTGATCAGGAGCCAGAGAGGCCGTTCGTGGGTGATGACTTGGGGGTCTCACTGGGGTGGGGAGGACAGGCCCCGGTCCACCCCTATCCCATGAGGCCCAACAAGTTTCCTCACTGCGGGCCCAAGCCTGACTGTCCAGTGGCTCTGGAGGATGGCGGCCACTGAGCCGCCAGGGGGGATCAGTCGGAGGGACAACACCCTTTCCCCCTGGGGTGGCCTGGCGACAGTAACATACTGTGGGGTCCAGACGCATTTCTGCGAAAATCCACTGGGTTCCGAGATTTGCTCCTGAGTCTCTGGGATCATGGCCATTAAGTGGCTTGACCAGGAGCCAGAAAGGCCATTGGTGGGCGATGACTTGGGGTCTCATTGGGGTGGGGAGGACAGGCCCGGCGCCACCCCCATCCCGGGTGGCCCAAAATACCACACCTGAGCACGCCCTGACCCCCACCCCCCACCCCAGGCTCCAGCGAGGGCACCGTCTCCATGGACGAGGGCGAGGATCTCAGCTTGATGGAAGAGGACAAAGGCGACGGCTGGACCCGAGTCCGGCGGAAACAGGGAGGGGAGGGCTACGTCCCCACCTCCTACCTCCGGGTCACGCTTAACTGAACCCAACTCAGGGTGCGAAGGGGAGGGGGCGTCGGCTGCTGCTTCCGGCCCACGGGGGCGTCCCAGGACCTACGCACTTTATTTGGGCCCCCTCCCCGCTGCCCCCGCCGTGGCTTCGGCTGAGACCTGTGTAGCCTGCTGCCCCCCTCACCACCGCCCCCCTCTCGACCCGCTGTGCCTTCGACCACCGATGTACATATTCCGATGTCATTATTATTTTTTTTCTGACGCTCGGCCAGGGCTGTTATGTTTTATATATAAAAGAGAAAAAATGATATCAAGCTCCAGGAGTGGGGAGTTTCTTTGGGAGGTCCCTGGGATGTCGGGGGGACGGGGGGGGCACACAGGGTGTGTCTGCCGGGAGAGATGGATTTTTTTTTCTGTTTTATTTTTTATTTATTTTTAATTTTTTTTATTAGTGAAACACCATGAGGTACAGTTGTAGACTTACAAATTTTTGTGCTTGGGTTTCAGTTATACAATGGTCAAATACCCATCCCTCCACCAGTGCCCATTTCCCACCACCACGGATCCCAGAATCCCTCTTACCCCCCATCCCCCCATCCTACCCTGCCTCTGTGGCAGGGAATTCCCTTTTGTTCTCTCTCCCTCCTTTTGGGTCCTGTGGTCTGCAAAAGAGGCATTGAGTGGCAATCATGTTCGGTCTATAGACTACTTTCAGCATGCTTCTCCCACCCTGGGAGGATCCTCCCAACACCCTTTACTTGGTGCTCCCTTCTCTATCTGAGCTCCCTTTCCCCCTAGCACGTGTGGCTGGCCTCCAAGTCATGGAGCAAAATTCCTGGTACTAATCTCAGCCACTCCTGGGTGTTAGTCTCCCATTTTGTTGCTTTATGTTCCCCAGATGAAGGCAATCTTTCTGTGTGTCTGAGAGATGGATTTTTGATGGATTTTTAAAAAGGTGCTTCGGGGTTCCCAGAGGGATTGAGGAAGGTGCGGGGAAGGGTTGAATGTGGTGATGTGTGTGTGTGTGGGGGGGCGCGCTATGACTTGGACCTTCTCTGCTCCCGCCCGGAAGTTGTTTTGCTTGTGGGGGGGAGGCCACACCTGGCCATGTCCTGTGCAGTCACACCTCAGCGGGTCCCCGTGGTATAGAAATTGGACCCCGGGCTCTTGCATGCAAAGCATGCGCTCTCCAGACCTCAGTACCTCCTCCCTGGCCCTTACTTGTGGTTTGGGGGCCACCCCCAGTGACTAGGTGTTTGCAGGGAACGTGCAGTCCTGGGGTCACCTGCGTACAAAACACGCTCTCCAGATGGTACAGCGGGGAGGATGCTGGCCTTGCACATGGCAGGACCCAGGCTCCATCCCCTCGCATCCCGTCGGGTCCCCCGCTCCCAGAATGATTCCTGAGCACAGAGCCGGGAGTAAAACCCCTGGGTTTTGCTGGACGTGGCCCCCAAACAAACAACTATACACACAAAATAAATAGCATGCTCTCCAGCCCTTAAATCATCTTGCCCACCCTGAAACCCGGTCAACTTCCTTTTTTTATTTTTTATTATTATTTTTTTGCTTTTTTTGGGTGGGGGTCACACCCGGCGATGCACAGGGGTTACTTCTGGCCCTGCACTCAGGAATTACCCCTGGCGGTGCTCAGGGGACCATGTGGGATGCTGGGAATTGAACCCTGGTCGGCCGCGTGCAAGGCAAACGCCCTTCCCGCTGTGCTATCACTCCAGCCCCAGATTTTTATTATTATTCATTTTTTAATTATTTTTTTTATTTTTCGTGTTCTTGTTTGCGGGATGGGGAAAGTTCATCCGCACCCTCTTGCGGCTGGCTGGCTGAGGATATGATCGACCCACTTCAGTTTCGTGGAAAGGAGTTGGGCTTTTAATCCCAGGGGCCCAGCGATTGGCAGGAAGAATCACAGCATTTTTGGAGAGCTCGACCCTCTGCCAGAGCTGCCAGTTCTTTCTGAGCACAAAAGCACCCGCTCACCATGTGCTCGGAGCACTGCAGTGGAGGGTGGGGGGGATGTCCCACGTTTCCAGATTTCAGGGTCTTTGCAGTGAGGGGGCAACGTGCCATCCCCTTCCCCCCAAGGTCCGCATTCACTTGGAGGACACAGGTAAAGCTTTTTGCAAATGCACCTCCCGTCCAGGAGAAAAAGTCGCTGCGTTCAGCCGTCAGGCTCCAGGCGCTGGGACAGGACACTGAGGACCCGCTGGAACTTCTCAAGACGAGTGGCCCGGGGTGCTCTGGCCCCCTGGCTCCCCCAGAGCAGCCGGCGCAGGAAGGGGGCACTCAGGGCTTCGCTCAGCTCCGGGTGCGGGCAGAATCCTGGGGGCGGGGCCAGCTGGAATGTGGGCGGGGCCTGGGAGAGCCACGCCCCGCCCCTCTGCACACCTGGTCTTTTGCCCCAGGGGGACTTTGACCCCGCCAAGGGCCCGGGAGGGACTCTGCCCCAGGTGTGCTGACGAGTGTGGCTGGGAATGGGGCGGGGGTGGCTTAGGGGCACTGTGTTTTGCAGGGGTGCCTGGGAGATGCGAGATGCAGGGGCCACATTCCTGAGGGCTGTTCCCAGAGCCCGACTAGTGGGGGGGCCAGGAGGGTGGGATTTAGTGGGATTTAGGGATCATGCTGCCCTGCTGATAAACTTGGGGGGAAGGCCATGTCGGAGGGACAGGTTGTGCTAAGGGGAGACAGAGTTTTTCCCTGGGCTGGAGGGAGGTAAGGTCCGTTTTTTGTTTTTTTTTTTTCCCCTTTTTATTTTGCTTTTTGGGTCACACCTGGCGATGCAAGCACAGGGGTTCCTCCTGGCTTATGCACTCAGGAATGACTCCTGGCAGTGCTCGGGGGACCCTATGGGATGCTGGGACTCGAACCCGGGTCGGCCGCGTGCAAGGCAAACGCCCTCCCCGCTGTGCTATCTCTCCAGCCCCCTCTACTTGTTTTGGTGAGGAAATGGGACCATGCACGCTTGGGAGGCATCCTCGGGGCCGGGGTGGCGGCTTGGCAGAGAGCAGGCAGGGAGCACCGTTTGGAGCCCGCGGGGTGCTCCGAAAGCCGGGGACGGTGCTCACTCACCTCGCAGGCGCCGGGCAGCCACCTGGCGGAATCTGGGCGCATCCCGGGCCACCTGTCGCGCCCGCTGCAGGGTCCGCAGCAGCCGCTCGCAGCTCTGGTCTAGCGGCCCGGGATTGGGGAGCTCCTCGCCCTCCAGCAGGCGCACCGCGGGTGCCACGTGCGGCAGCGCCACCTCGCCCGGCTCGCCGGGTCCTGCAGAGCAAAGGTTCTGGGCGGGGCTGGGCCTACGGGACCCCAGGGCTGCAGCCACCCGCCGAGAGGCTTAAGAGCCGAAGCAAGGTGCACAGATTAGAGCTGGAGCGGGCCGGGGCGTGGCCTAGCGCAGGGGGTGGAGCCTAGGGCCGTGTGGGCGGGGCCACGGCCGCGAGGAGGCGGAGCCTATGGGGAGAAGCAAAGAGGCAGGTGGAGTCGGCCCCAGAGGCTTGAACTTAGTACAGATCTGGACCCGGGTCAAGGGTGCGGTCCAGTAGAAGGACCGAGATTAAAGCGAAAAACAGGCGCTGCCGGGCGGAATCCTAGAACCGGATTAATAGAGCCTGGAGCAGGGGGCGGACCCTGGAGCAGACGCCTGGGCGGGGCCATAGCTGGGGCCTGGGCGGGACCTGGTGCAGGGGGCGGACCCGGCAAAGCGGGATCCTGGCGCAGGGGCGGGGCCATAGCAGGGGGCGGGGCGGGACCGGTTCAGGGGCGGAGCCATAGGAGGCATCTGGACGGGCCCTGGAGCAGACGCCTGGGCGGGGCCGATTCAGGGGCGGGGCCACAGCAGGGGCCTGGGCGGGGCCTGGTGCAGGGGGCGGGGCGGGTTCAGGGGCGGAGCCAGAGGAGGCACCTGGACGGGACCTGGTGCAGCGACCAGGCAAAGCGGGATCCTGGCGCAGGGGCGGGGCCATAGCAGGGGGCGGGGCCACAGCAGGGGCGGGGCGGGCTCAGGGGCGGAGCCAGAGGAGGCACCTGCACGGGACCTGGGCAAAGCGGGATCCTGGCGCAGGGGCGGGGCCATAGCAGGGGGCGGGGCGGGACCGGTTCAGGGGCGGAGCCATAGGAGGCATCTGGACGGGCCCTGGAGCAGACTGGGCGGGGCCGGTTCAGGGGCGGGGCCATAGCAGGGTCCTGGGCGGGGCCTGGTGCAGGGGGCGGGGCGGGCTCAGGGGCGGAGCCAGAGGAGGCACCTGGACGGGACCTGGTGCAGCGACCCAGCAAAGCGGGATCCTGGCGCAGGGGCGGGGCCATAGCAGGGGGCGGGGCCACAGCAGGGGGCGGGGCCATAGCAGGGGCGGGGCGGGACCGGTTCAGGGGCGGAGCCATAGGAGGCATCTGGACGGGCCCTGGAGCAGACGCCTGGGCGGGGCCGGTTCAGGGGGCGGGGCGGGTTCAGGGGCGGAGCCAGAGGAGGCACCTGGACGGAACCTGGGCAAAGCGGGATCCTGGCGCAGGGGCGGGGCCATAGCAGGGGGCGGGGCCACAGCAGGGGCGGGGCCACAGCAGGGGCGGGGCCACAGCAGGGGCGGGGGCAGAGGAGGCACCTGGACGGGACCTGGTGCAGCGACCGGGCAAAGCGGGATCCTGGTGCAGTAGCGGGGCCGTAGCAGGAGTCTGGGCGGGGCTTAGGACTTAGGGTGCTCCGGTTCTGGCACCTTGGTGAGCCGAGTCGCTTGCAGGCCGTCGGGAATCGCTTTCCCCGACGACGACACTCACCCTCGCCCTTCTCCAGGGCGCACATCAGCGGCTTCAGCTGCTGCTCAAAGGCCAGCGCGGCCTCCGTGTGGCTTCTGCGGAGCTGGCGCCACGTGCGCTCCAAGCGGGACACCTTGGAGAGAACCCAGGACCCGCGAGTCTGCCTCGCCTCTGCAGGCTTCCTCCGCGACCCTGCCCCCCCACCCCCACCCCCACCCCCGAGCCCGGCTTCCCCACGCACCTGGGGCAGGAGCAGCGCGCTCATGACCGCGGCCAGCCCCGGCAGGTCCCCCGCCGCCCCGGGGCGCAGCGCCAGCGCCAGCTCCACCAGGCCCCGCAGGGCAGCGGCGCGCTCCTCCAGGGACCCCGCGCAGCCCAGCACCGCCAGCGCCGCGGCCAGCGCCAGGGCCTCGTGCCTGTGGGATCGGAGGGCAGGAGGGTCTGGGGGCAGCGGGGGAGTCCCTGATGCAAAGGGAGGGGGAGGACGGATTGGGCTGGGTCCATTCCCTTCTTTTCCCAGAGGTGGGAATGGGTGGGGGGACCTCAGGGGTGGGGACTTGCACAGATACACACACACACACACACACACACACACACACACACACACACACTCACCTTTCCAATAGTTCCAACCTTAAGCGATGCCCATGCGGCAGCGTGAGCAGCTCCAGGCCAGAGGTGACCCCCATCGCGTCCTGCTGCGTCTTGGACACTCCCAGGAGACCTGTGGCCTGGGGGTTGGTGGGATGGGGGTGGAAAGTCAGGTGAGTTGGAGGAGTTCTTGGCCTGGGGGGGGGGTGACCCGGCGGGCAAGGGACCCACCTGACAGTCTGAAAGCAACAGGTGCAAGGCCGTGCTCTCTGCGTGGTGCTCCAGAAAGAGTTCTCGAAGCTTCTGCAGGACTTGGGGCTCCAGGGGCCGATTCTGGGAACCCAGCAGGCCGGAGGGGTTCTCAGGAGGGCAGAAGGAGACTTCCACCTGCGGTCTTGTGAAATACCTGTCTTTCTCCTTCTCCTCATCCTCCTGGGCCACTTCCCACCATGTGGTCTGTGGCTCTGGGCAGCCGTGGTCAGGGCGTGTTCTCTGGGTCTCCGGCACGCGGAGTACCAGCTCACAGTAGGTTGGGGGACGTCCAGAGGCCTCTGGCAGCGCCAGGGAGGGAGTGCGAGGGGGCTTGGTCGGCGCCTTGGCATGAAGCTGCCCATCGGAGGCTGTGAGGCTGTCAGCGATGGTTCCCAGGGGGGCTGGGGCTTTCAGCAATGTGGGGTCACTCTCAGTCCGCGGTAGGAGATGCGTGAAAACAGCAGTGTCTTCTGGGTGGAGAGGTACATGGAGAAGGGGGCTGAGTGGGTGGGGTCGGAGGCTGCATGCATGACTGTCACTTATTCGGTCACACCCGGCGATGATCAGGGGTTCCTCCTGGCTCTGCACTCAGGAATTACTCCTGGAGGTGCTCAGGGGATTGAACCCGGATTGGCCCTACCTGCTGTAATATGGTTCTGGTCCCAACTATTACTTATTCAGTCACTAGCCAGGCATCCTGCGGTAATTCCGTGAGGTTTTGAACTTGAACAGTCTGACATTACAAATGCTGCCCCCCACATGGACACTGACCGCTTCTGGGCTTTGGCTATGACCTCTGGAAGCAACGCTGCAGGGGCCTGAGAAACAGGACAGGGATAAAGGCATTTGCCTTGTTGGACTGGAGCGATAGCACAGCGGGTAGGGCGTTTGCCTTGCACGTGGCTGAGCTGGTCGGCCCAGGTTCGATTCCTCTGCCCCTCTCGGAGAGCCCGGCAAGCTACTGAGAGTATCTCGCCCGCACGGCAAAGCCTGGCAAGCTACCCGTGGCATATTCGATATGCCAAACACAGTAACAACAAGTCTCACAATGAATACGTTACTGGACCCACTCGAGCAAACTGATGAACAATGGGAGGACAGTGCAGACAGTGCCTTGCTATAGTTGACCCAGGTTGAATCCCCGGTACCTATTCAAGCACCTGCCAGGAGTGATCTCAGAGCAGAGCCAGGAGGAAGCTCTGAAGGTAGCCAGGTGTGGGCCCCAGACCAAATCAAAGCAATCTGAACCTCAACCAAACAGAAGTTGAGGGAATGGGTTTGCTTTCTGAAGAGCAGAACAGCAGTGCAAAGGCCCTGAGGTAGGTAGGAATAGATTGTGAAGGTTTCACACATTGAAGGGAGACTGACCCTGGGGTGAGAAGGCAGTGTGACGGGCTGGTCATGGGCACTTTGTAAAAATTGTAAAAATTCTAATTTCCATCTTCTTTTTTGCCACACCCAGTGATGCTCAGGGGTTACTCCTGGCTCTGCATTCAGGAGTTACTCCTGACATTGCTCAAGAGGCCACACAGGATGTCAAGGATTAAACCCAGCTTGGCCACATACAAAGCAAGCACCTTACCCGCTGTACTAACTCTCATGCCTTCTAAGTTTGAATTTTAATTTAAAAAATTTTTTTTTTTTTTTTTTGGTTTTTGGGCCCCACCCAGCAATGCTCAGGGGTTACTCCTGGCTTTGCACTCAGGAATTACTTCTGGCGGTGCTTGTGGGATCCTGTGGGAAGCTGGGGATGGAACTTGGGTCAGCTGCGTGCAAAGCAAACACTCTTCCCACTGTCCTGTCACTACGGGTCTATAAATTGGCATTTAATAGCACCTACAAAGTTCCTGGGTGTTTCTGAACTTTGAATGCATGGAGACCCCAAAGTGCTGGTTCAGCTGAGATCACTCGGGCAGGGAGAAAAAGGAAAGACAGAACCAGCCATGGCACCTCACCTGATTCAAAGGGGACACTTGCAGACTGTCCCAGAAGCTCCAAGCCTGCTGGCTGGCTGTCACTCCACTTCCTCGTCCTGGGCGGGGGGGGGGGGGGGGGTGGAGGGGACAGAGACAGGAGAGAGGGGAGCCCCATTCTGAGCAGGGCAGCTCCCCTTGATACCCAGAAACCCCTTTATCCAATCACGTAACCAAACTGTGATACTCAGGATTGGAGCAATAGCACAGCAGGTAAAGCACTTGTTTTGCCCAAGTTTGACTCGGGTTTTTCTGTTTGTTTTTGTCTTTTTTATTATTTTGGTTTGGTTTTGGGTCACACTCGGTGATGCTCAGAGGTTTATTTTTTGTTTTTTGTTTTTTTTTTTGCTTTTGGGGTCACACCCAGCGATACTCAGGGGTCATTCCTGGCTCTGCACTCAGGAATCACTCCTGGCGGTGCTTGGGGGACCATATGGGATGCTGGGGATCGAACTTAGGTCGGCCGCGTGCAAGGCAAACGCCCTACTCGCTAGTGCTATCACTCCAGCCCAGTGATGCTCAGAGGTTACTCCTGGCCGTGCACTCAGGAATTACTGGGATGCTGGGGGATCGAACCCGGATCAGGCATGTGCAAGTCAAGTGCCTTACCTGTTGTACTATGGCTCAGTTCCCCACCCCCAGCCCCCTCAGGTCCCAGCATCCCATAGAGTCCCCTGAGCATAGAGTCAGGAATAATCGCTAAGCGCAGCGATTCTTCCAAAATCAAACCCATCAGGGTGCTGGCGGGGGCAGGCGGATGTATGTTTAGGGGGCATCAGCTGTGCTGGGAATCAAAGAGGGACAGTTGCATGCAGAGCAGGGTCCTAAACCCTGCACAGTGTCCTCCCACAACGCTTGTCACCCCACACTGTCCCCCTAGAAGGAATCAGCCAAATCGAGAGGGAGAGGGGTGGGTGTGGAGGGTCACAGTGAAGCTAGGGATGCAGGGGAGAGAGGGTGTGAGTACCTGAGAGGCTCTTTCAAGGCTGGGCTGTCTAGAAGAGTGTTCTCGCTGACACTGCGTCCAATGGACACGCGTCGTGCCACTGGCCTGCAGGCCACAGCCCCCGTGGCCTGGGACAGTGGCCGGTGGCCACTAACATAGCTTCGAATCAGGGCAGGCAGGTTTGGGAATTGCTCGTCCTCCAGCTGATAGAGGGCTGTGGGCCGGCCGGGCCGGGGCCGCAGGAAGACACGGAGCACCTCGAAGTGCAGAGCTGAGCCCTGCCAGCGGCAGGAAATTACAGGCTGGCCCCCGCGGGACCCCGAGGCCCGCACCAGGAAGTCCCCGTCTCGTTGAAGAAGGGCTTCCGCCTTCTGGAGAGAAGATTTAGGCACAACAGATCACTTATGTATCACTTATGTATCACTTATGTAACGCCTGCCTGCATCCCATCCCCACCCGAACGAAACACAGTTTCTCTTGTATCAAATCACTTTCCCCCACGTTTGACAAGGGCCACACGGCAGGACTACATTTCCCAAGAGCCTTTGCAGCTAGGAGCTGCCACGTGACAAGATCTGACCAATGGGGTGAGCGCGGATATAAAAATGGCCACACAGGGGGCTGGAGGGATAGCGCAGCGGGTGGGGCATTTGCCTTGCACGCGGCCGACCCAGGTTCGATTCCCAGCATCCCATAGGGTCCCCTGAGCACCGCCAGGATTGACTCCTGAGTGCAGAGCCAGGAGTAACCCCTGGGCATCGCCGGGTGTGACCCAAAAAGCAAAAAAATAAATAAATAAATAAAAAGGCCACACAGACTTGGCCTTCCTAATCCTACTGCACTGCCCAGCTGTCTATATCTGCTATTGTGTCCTGGGTCTCCCCAAAATCCTAGGAGAGGGCAGATCCATACGATGCAAGGAGCTGGAAGATGAGAAAACGGGGAGCTGACCCCTTTCTGGTGCACTGCATGCCAGCCAGCTCCTCTGTGAACAGACACACCCATGAAGGTCTGGGAAAAGTTTATTACCCAGCTAATGCATGCTGACAAATGCAGCAGCCTCCAAACTGAGTGCAAGCACCGGGCTGGCTGAGCAAATGTTACTCTGGCGGAAGCCATTCGAAGGAGCCTTCCAAACAGATGGGACTGATGAGTCCCACAGCGACTTTTTTTTTTTTTTTTGCTTTTTGGGTCACACCCAGCGATGCTCAGGGGTTACTCTTGGCTCATGCACTCAGGAATTGCTCCTGGCGGTGCTCGGGGGACCATATGGGATGCTGGGAATCGAACCTGTGTTGGCCATGTTGGCTGCGTGCAAGGCAAATGCCCTACCTGCTGTGCTATCTCTCCAGCCCCCACAGTGACTTTTTAAAGCAGTCATTGCCAGCCTCTGTGGCTGACATTGTAATAGGGTACGAGGCACCCAAAAGAGATAAAGCAAGCCTGGCAGTAGGCCTGGGGGCACGGAATGATTCATGCAGAGAATGCAGGTATAACTCTGACTCTTGGAGAACAGAGGGACCTCATTTCTTTCTTTCTTTTTTTTAAGTCACTTTTATTATTATTTATTTATTTATTTTGCTTTTTGGGGTCCCACCCAGCGATGCTCAGGGGTTCCTCCTGGCTCATGAACTCAGGAATTACTCCTGGCAGTGCTTGGGGGACCCTCTGGGATGCTGGGGGATCGAACCCGGGTCAGCCGCGCGCAAGGCAAACGCCCTACCCGCTGTACTATCGCTCCAGTTCCGGGACCTCATTTCATCCTTGAGCAAAGTTAAGCAGAAGATAGCATTAGTCTGCTCTGGTGGTGCTCAAGGGTTACTCCTAGCTCTGTACTCAGAGATCACTTCTGGCGGTGCTTGAGGAACCATAACGGGATGCTGGGTATTGAACCCAGCTCAGCTGCATGCAAGATGAGAGCCTTACTCACGGTACTATCTCTCCAGTCCCAATATCAGCCCTCTCTTAAGAAAAAAGCAACCCTGAGGAGGCCCAAGGCTCCTCTTCAGATAAATATAGAAACTGGCCATGTGCCAAGTTCAAGTCCTCCGCCCAACCCCCACCCCTTTTTTTTTGTTTTTGGACCCACACCCAGAGATGCTCAGGGCTTCCGCCAGGCTCTGAACTCAGGGATCATTCCTGGTGGTTTGTTCAGGGGGCAACATGGGATGCTGAAGATGGAGCTTGGTTCAGCTGCTCCAAGGCAAGCATCCTCCCCACTGTGCTCTCCCTCCAGCCTTCCCCCCACCCCCAACCAGGCACCCTTTTTAACAGATCGTGACCCTCAGTTCCTCCCTCCACTGCTCAGAATGTCTGCAGAAGGAGGTACCTGACGGGACAGGGGACCATGGTACCAGAGTTGACCAACAAAGTCCTCTCCATCCTGGGGCAGCTGCATGGAATCTTGGAGGCAGAAGGTATTGGGACTGAACTCCTTTCTGGCGACAGGCCTCTGTTTTCCACATCTGTAAAATGGAAATAATGATCCTGTTCTGTCAGTTCCCTGAGAGGCAGTCAGCCCTTCCAGGCCCCTCTTTTTTTTTTTTTTTTTTTGCTTTTTGGGTCACACCCAGTGATGCTCAGGGGTTACTCCTGGCTCAAGCACTCAGGAATTACTCCTGGCAGTGCTCGGGGGACCATATGGGATGCTGGGAATTGAACCTGGGTCTGCCATGTTGGCTGTGTGCAAGGCAAACGCCCTACCCGCTGTGCTATCGCTCCAGCCCCCAGGCCCCTGTGTTTTCAAGACAGGGGTCACACACACAAGCCATCAAATCTTTTTTTTTTTTTTTTTTTGCTTTTTGGGTCACACCTGGCGATGCACAGGGGTTACTCCTGGCTCTGCACTCAGGAGTTACTCCTGGCAGTGCTCAGGGAACCATATGGGATGCTGGGAATCGAACCCAGGTTGGCCATGCGCAAGGCAAACGCCCTACCCGCTGTGCTATCTCTCCAGCCCGAAGCCATCGAATCTTGAAAAGCAATTTTCTCCTCTCACCTAGCTCTGTGCCACAGCGGGTAGGGCGTTTGCCTTGCAAGCGGCCGAACCAGGTTCGATTCTTCTGTCCCTCTCGGAGAGCCCAGCAAGCTACCGAGAGTATCCTGCCCTCATGGCAGAGCCTGGCAAGCTCCCCGTGATGTATTCAATATGCCGAAAACAGTAACAACAAAGTCTCACAATGGAGACGTTACTGGTACCCACTTGAGCAAATTGATGAACAACAGGAGGACAGTGCTACAGTGCTACCTAGCTCTGTAGAGAGGAGGAGGAGGAGGAAGAAGAGGAGGAGGAGAAGAAAATAATTTCAAGCTGGAATGAGATTCATGAAGTTTCTGGGGGTGGGGGCTGGAGCGATAGCACAGCGGGTAGGGCGTTTGCTTGCATGCGGCCAACCCTGGTTCGATTCCCAGCATCCCATATGGTCCCCCGAGCACTGCCAGGGGTAGTTCCTGAGTGCAGAGCCAGGAGTAACCCCTGAGTATTGCTGGGTGTGACCCTAAACGCATGAAGTTTCTGGGGGTCCCTGAAGCCACACTTAGAGGCCATGCCATGCTTGGGGTCAACTTCAGGGCCCATGCCTGTGTTTTACCACTAGAAAGCTCTTTTGGAGTGTCCAGTGGTCTGGAGCACATGCAAAACCTTGGGCCCTGTGTAGACCCCAAGCACCCCTAGCTGTGACTCAAGATCTGAACCAGACCAAAATTCCCCACACGCAAAAACACATCTGTACAAAGGTCAGCCGAGGGGTCGGAGCAATAATACCGCGGGCAGGGCGTTTGCTTTGCATGCGGTCAATTCGGGTTGTGCCTCTCCTCTCTCTCTCTCTCTCTCTCTCTCTCTCTCTCTCTCTCTCTCTCTCTCACACACACACACACACACACACACACACACACACACCAAATGTCAGCCAGTAGTGACTTTATCTTCATGGTTTCTTCTTGGATTTGGGAGTCGATGCGTTCCTCGATCAAGGTCAGGCTCAAGTCTCACACACGTGGCTGTGAGTTCACAAAGTGTGGGCTCCTGAGACACGTGCGTGAGTGCCACCACTCCAGCAGAGGAACAAAGAGATGGGGGGGGGGGGGATCACGGGCTGTTTAATGGGGGAAATGGCCTGTTTACTGCGGAGCGGTTAGCATACTCACAGAACATCTGAAGGGGTCTGAGGTGTTGGATTGCACGTAGGTGTGGTTGATCATTCACAGAGGTGAAACATTTCAACAGAGACAATTCTCTGGGGGAGATCAACTCAAGGGGACACTCTGTCTCCCAGGGACATCTGTATTGATTTTCTCTTTCCCTTAAGTTGTGCTATCGCTCCAACCCGGAGAGCCCCGGCAAGCTACCGAGAGTATTGGATATGCCAGACACAGTAACAACAAAGTCTCCGATGGAGACGTTACTGGGCCCGCTCGAGCAAATCGACGATCAACGGGAGGGCCTTTACCTTTACCTTTTCCCTTAAGTTGTACATATTAAACAATGAAGTTTACTTCTTACTAATACTTGCAGTTATTTGGATAAATGCAGCAAGAGATATAGATTATAGATTCTAAAACTTAGTTCTCGGGGCTCTGAGAGCAAGCGAGATTTTTACGTAAATCCCAGTCCAAGTTCTCAGGCAAGTTCAGCTTGTCCTTGTCCTACCCCATGGGGGTCCTGAGTCTTTTTTTTTTTTCATTTTGGGTCACACCCAGCGATGCACAGGGGGGTACTCTTGGCTTTGCACTCAGAAATTACTCCTGGCGGTGCTTGGGAGACCATATGGGCTACTGGGAATCGAACCCGGGTTGGTCATGTGCAAGGCAAACGCCCTACCCGCTGTACTATTGTTCCAACCCTGGGTCCTGAGTTTTAAGTCATAATAGCTTGCATTAAGATCATGCTTTCTAGACTGTCCCATTTTTTTTTTATGTAGGAGTACTGCTATTTATTCAGCCACTGATTAGCTGATTGAATTGGGCATGAACTCCACCTTCCTTTTTTTTTAATCATTTTTTTTATAATTTTATTTATTGAATCACTGTGAGAGCAGTTACAAAGCTTTCGGGTCTAAGTCTCGGTCATACAATGAAACACCTGTACCTTCACCAGTGCCCATTCTTCACCACCAAAATGTCCCTTTTTTTTTTTTTTTTTTTGCTTTTTTTGGGGTCACACCCGGCGATGCTCAGGGGTTACTCCTGGCTCATGCACTCAGGAATTGCTCCTGGTGGTGCTCGGGGGACCATATGGGATGCTGGGAATCGAACCTGTGTCGACCATGTTGGCTGCGTGCAAGGCAAACGCCCTACCTGCTGTGCTATCGCTCCAGCCCCCAAAATGTCCCATTTTGATGCCGGGTTAGCTCCACCACTCGCCCGGGGTTCATCCCAGTCCCACGATGGGATTTCCCTTTTGGGGTGTTAGGAACTGCAGCAGCTGAAGCCTGAGTCAAGTAATTGTGATGGATACCCAAGAGTAGAACTACTCAGAGCCAATCAACTCCCAAATATCAGGAACTGCATTAACAGTCTTTCTGTGTTTAAGCCAAGAACATTGCTCTCTGGTAAAATGTGGAAAGGCTAGAGGGGGAGTTTAGAAAGCGGACAATTCTCTACAAATACACAGTTCGGAATTCCCAGCAAGTTTTGGCTTAGAAGTAACCAAGACTGACGCGGGGAACTGTGACAATGAGAGGTAAAACACAAAGGAAAGGTTAAAGATAAACTCGGGGGGATTAGGGATGCTCGGAAGAACACAGTAACCTTCTCTGGGAGGAGGAAAAGGGGCCATTCACGGATGAAGCCTGAAACACTTAGGGTTAATATCCAACACGTAGCGACGCTTTTGGTTCTCAGTCCTGAGAGACTTGCCCTAGATGGGAGGGAAGGGGGGGGCGGGGGCAGGGGCGGGGGCAGGGGGCAGCGTTCCTGCGTCTCACACCCCCACTTGCCCAGTCTCTGTGCATGACAAGGTCTGCAGGATTCCTGCCTCCTGACTCACGGCAGGCAGTTCTGCAGTGCAGGGCCTGGAAGGGGCAGGAAGTTTGCAGCTCAGCGAGAGAGGTGACTCTAGGGCAGGGTGGGTGGGGTACAAGGCCAGAAGTTGGCTCCAGGTGCCACATACCTGAATACCAGGTGTGTCTCCCAGATGCCAGGGCACTTCCTGTTTTGCCAGGTTTGGCCTCAGGTCCTCGCTCTCTCTCCCTCCCTCATCCCTCCCTCCCTCTCTCCTTTCTCTCTTGGGGGTGTTCCATACCTGGGGGTGCTCAGGTATAAATCCTGGCTCTGCACTCAGGGGACTATATGGGGTGCCAGGGATCAAGCCCGGGTTGGCTGCATGCAAAGCAACCATCTTTCTCCCTTCCTTCCTTCCTTCCTTCCTTCCTTCCTTCCTTCCTTCCTTCCTTCCTTCCTTCCTCTGTTCCTTCCCTCCTTCCCTCCCTCCCTCCTTCCTTCCTTCCCTCACTCCCTCCCTCTGTTCCTTCCCTCCTTCCTTCCTCCCTTCTTCCTTCCTTCCTTCCTTCCTTCCTTCCTCCCTCCCTCCCTCCTTCCTTCCTCCCTCTGTTCCTTCCCTCCTTCCCTCCTTTCTTCCTTCCTTCTTTCCTTCCTTCCTTCCTTCCTCCTTCTTTCTTTCCTTCCTTTTTTCTTTTTCTCTTTCTCTCCTCTTTCTTTCTTTCTTTCTTTCTTTCTTTCTTTCTCTCTCCCTCCCTCCCTCCCTTACTTCCTTCCTTCCTTCTTCCTTTCTTTCCTTCCTTTCTTCTTTTTCTCTTTCTCTCCTCTTTCTTTCTTTCTTTCTTTCTTTCTTTCTTTCTTTCTTTCTTTCCCTCCTTTCTCCTTCCTCCCTCCTTTCCTCCCTCCCTTCCTTCCTTCCTTCTTCCTTCTATCCTTCTTTCTTTCCTTCCTTTCTTCTTTTTCTCTTTCTCTCCTCTTTCTTTCTTTCTTTCTTTCTTTCTTTCTTTCTTTCTTTCTCCTCCCTTCCTTCCTTTCTTCTTTTTCTCTTTCTCTCTTCTTTCTTTCTTTCTTTCTTTCTCCTTTCTTCCTTCCTTCCTTCCTTCCATCCTCCCTCCCTTCCTTCCTTCCTTCCTTCCTTCTAACTGTGCATTCAGCAGTCACTCCTGGCAGTTGCTGGAGGGCTGTGACACCCCTTCCCCCTCCAATAATATGACAGACATGGGCACTGAGGTGGACGGGACAAGACACCTGCACACAGGTGGACACAGGGACTCAAACATGCCACTGAGCAAACACAGGGTAAGCACTGGCCGTATGCCAGCGTTGTTCAGGACTCTGAGGTAAAGGCAGAAGATCCGGGCTCTGTCCTGCCCCATCTGGTGGGCAAGATACAGAGTGAACCAGGAAGACACTGACAATAAGTCAATGAAGGTGGGAGGGATCAGGAAACTCTTTTTGTTG